ACACTTGTGTTGACCACGGTCTAAAAGGAGCATTATGCCCTGGACCCGTGTCCACCTTGTGCATGGTGGACACACTGTACATTCATAATTTCTATGTTGTAGATTCATAATTTCTATATTGTAGATTCATAATTTCTATACTGTAGATTCATAAAATTTATAATGTTGATTCATAATTTCTATACTGCACATTCATAATTTATGTACTGTAGATTCATAATTTCTATACTGTAGATTCATAATTTTCATACTGTAGATTCATAAAATTTATAATATAGATTCATAATTTCTATATTGCACATTCATAATTTCTGTATTTTAGATTCATAATTTGATAACTCTGTGTTTATAATTTGATAACTATACAGTTTAGAAATTATGAATCTACATTACAGAAATTAAGAATCTACAGTACAGAAATTATGAATGTGCAGCATAGAAATTATGAATCTACAATATAAATTTTATGAATCTACAGTTCAGAAATTATGAATCTACAGTATATAAATTATGAATGCATGGTGGACATGGGTCCATAGCATAATTTGCCGGTCTAAAACGATGTCGTTAAATATTATGAGTTAGATAGGTATTGGGTTGCTCCCCTCAGTGGGAGGTGTAAGGTTCGAACCTTAGTTGAGGCAATAGTGTGTATATGTAGGGTATCCCCCTTCCTTATAAAAAAAAAATATATTATGAGTTAGAATAATGTATTTTATGTGTTAGAGTAATATACATTGGCCCTGTTTGGTAAAATGGCTGATAGCTGTTAGCTGATTGTGATTGTAGAAAAGTGTTTGGTAAATTAGCTGATAGCTGTTTGATATAATTTCTTTTCTCAAAAAGCTAATTGAAAAAGTTGCTTGGAGTAGCTTTTTGAATTTTAGCCTTTTGGAGTTGCAAAAAGCTAATTAACCAAACATTTCTATTGATATTTTAACTAAATCAAACAATTAATAGCGGTCAAATAAGCCAAAATTGGCCTATAGGCCAATTTTTTACCAAACAGGGCCATTATGTATTAGAAATTAGAATAATGTACTGTAGTTTTCAAAAAAAAAAATGTACCTTGTGTTAAAATAATGTAGTTTATGTGTTAGAATAATAAAACTTCTGGAGTGAGATAATGTATTTTTTGAGTTAGAATAATGTACATTATGTTTTTGAATAATATATATTATGAGTTATAAAAATGTATAATGCAACGAGTTGCTTGAAGAAAAACAAAATTGCACAAAACAATGTCATTTTTGGACCGTGATCCATATATATGTCTGGACCATGGTCCACGCAATAACTGTTGGTGTTGACTGATGTTGATTGAGCTAGATCTAGATTTAGGTAGTTCTTGAATTTGTTTTCTTTTCTCATGTGTACATAAATAAATATGTCAGAACTGAGCATATTTATAAAGAACAAAACATTGTTGCAGATGTATATCTGTTTAGTATGAAGCATTGGTTGTGGTTGCTTGACCATCCTTTTTCGGTTGTTCAACGAGCTTTGATGGCTGTTTTCTGACCAAGAAAGATCTTGGTGCGAAAGATTCGAAATGACAAAAATAAATTCATATGTTAATGAAACTTGACAATTATATAACAATAGAAACTAAAAATGTAAAATTATGAACAAGTAGCTAAATTTGTTTAAATAATTAACTTTGAATAGTGACATTTTCCCTTTACATACTAAATACTTCTTTTTTTTCTTTTGGTTAACCCCTTGTCTTTGATTATATATAACTCAATTTAGAATTACTAAATAAAATTTATAATTTATTTTTTAAAAGTATGAAATTTATTCATTAAATTATTTGTCAAAATGTCCACAATGAACAAAGTTGGGGCAAGTAGCAACTCACCACAACTTGACTTAGAAACGGCTCCCTTAGCAACAATATGAACATCACGATTTACAGATAGTTTAACAAACTTGAAACATATATCATTAAAAAAACTAGTTATTTTCTTGACATCATCAATATTCAAACCCGAATGAAAAGAAGTAAAAACAAAAGGTCAAATTATAAGATTATAAAAACTTTTATTTAAATAAAATAACAATAGTAGCGGCCAAAAAGTATATACTTTTTATTTTTCCTATGAGAAACTTTTTTCTTTTGTTTTTTTGAGAAAAAAAATGTTATGATGATGAGAAAGATAGAGGAAAGCATAATTATGTTATAATATTTTAAAATTTTAGACATAAAATTTTATTAATCTTTTGATTTATAGAAAGACCACAACTACTATTCAAATGTGTTGGTTGGGTGAAGTACTGAAGTCTACCTTGTGAAGTAAGTTAGTTTAAGTTGTTCATTACTGACTGGCTCAAACCCAAAAGATTATACTTGAAACCTTGTAATTATCCAATTAACTGTCTGATCAATTTGGTTGAAGTTGGTACTTTAATATTGGTAACCTTTTTATAAAATAAGATGTGTAAAGTTGTTCCAAAGGCCAAAGTGACAAAGTCATACTTTTATCCTCAAGTGTTGAGTATAGTGTATAATTATTCAATTGTTATATCGTGCACCAGCGCGTACAATGCATTGTGCACCCTAAAATCTATTGTTTTGTATGTACATAATTGTATAGTAAAATACACATAAACTCCTAACATAATATACATAATCTAACATAATACACAATACATATAAACTTTTAACATAATACATATGAACTCTTAACATAATACACATAAACTCTTAACATAATATGCATAAACTCTTAGGGGTGTTCGGTTCATGGAATGTTAGATTACATTAGGGAATGTTAGATTGCTGGGAATGTTAGATTTTTGTGTTTGGTTTAAAACTAAGATATGTAAATAAGACAACGGTAATAAGATAAATTGATTAAAACGTCCAAAGCCCAACATTAGTAATAAGACAAGGAAATGTGAGATTACCTAAGAAATTGGAGGGTATCTCACATTCCCTTCCAATAGCTAAAAACTTAATGCGGAGGTTATCTGACATTCCCTGAGGAAAGTTACATAACCTGAACCAAACATGAGAGTCTTATATTACCAAGCAAATATAACATTAGTTATCTTATATAACCTGAACCAAACATCCCTTAGGGTGCACAATATAATTTGCCATAATTATTATGGTAGTTAGAGATCATGATGGGCCAAGTTTAGGCCCACAAACCATGTGAATGCAGCCCACTTCTATTGGGCCCACAAATTAACTTTTTCCTTTCAAGAAAAGGTGCAAATATTTTAAAGCTGGGTATCAATATGGCCCACTTAAATGGGCCTCCTCATTTTGTCTATTAGGTGCACCACCTTGATATTTGTGGAGCGTTATGCTGTGCAACCGTGTGTACCATGCAAGGTGCACACGGAATTTGATCTATAATTGTTATACTATAGATCCATAATTTTTATACAATAGATCTATAATTTCTATACTATAGATTTATAATTGCTATACTATAGATTCATAATTTCTAAACTGTATAGTTATCAAATTATGAATATATAATTCAGTGATTTGTGAATGCAAAGTTTAACAATTGGGAATATGAACATTGAAAATTATGAATATAGAGTTTTGTAATTATGAATTTATAGTATAGAAATTATGAATTTATAGTACATAAATTATGGATCCAATTCTGTGTGTACCATGCATGGTGCACACGGTTGCACAACATAATTTGCCGATATTTGTATCTAGTTATCTACGGTCCCCTCCAAGAATATTATCGCTTTAGTGTTGACTGGCAAATTACAATCCACACAGTTGTATTGACCACAGTCTAAAACACTGTCATTGAATATTATGGGTTAAAGTAATGTACTTTATGAATTAGAATAATGTACTTTATGTGTTAGAATAATGTACGTTATGTGTTAGAATAATGTACTTAATGTGTTAGAATAATGTACGTTATGTGTTAGAATAATGTACTTAATGTGTTAGAATAATGTACATTGTGTTTGAATAATGTACATTATGTGTTAGAATAATGAAACTTATAGAGTAAGATAATGTATTTTATGAGTTAGAATAATGTACTTTATGCTTTAGAATAATGTACATTATGAATTATAAAAATGTATGTTGCAACGAGTCGTGTGAAAAAAAAAAATTGTGCGAAAGGGCGTCGTTTTTGGACCGTGATCAACTGCTGACTAATGTTGTTGATTGAGCTAGATCTAGATTTAGGTAGTTCTTGAATTTGTTTTCTTTTCTCGTGTGTACAAACTAAATAAATATGTCAGAGCTGAGCATATTTATAAATTTATAAAGAACAAAACACTGAGCATATTTATAAATTTATAAAGAACAAAACATTGTTGCAGATGTATATCAGTTTAGTATGAAGCATTGGTTGTGGTTGCTTGACCATCCTCTTTTGGTTGTTCAACGAGCTTTGATAGCTGTTTTCTGACCAAGAAAGATCTTGGTGTGAAAGCTTTTACTATATACTTTTTGAGTAACGAGAAAATTTTGCAGCCACTATTTAAAAGTTTGTGTTGGGTAAATCTTGCATTAGACATCTTCAAAAGAGACTTTTGGATCAGGTTTTGAGGAAATTTGGGTGAGGTGGAGGAAAGAGACGGAAGAGAGAGAGAGAGAGTTGGATTGTCCTACAAAAATGAGAATTTTGCAATGGGTGGGTCCCACTAGTGAGGCGCAACTCTCGTGCCCAGGCGGGCGTGTAATTCTATTTTTTTTTTTTTCAGATTATTTTTTTCTTTTTTTCTCCCTTCCTATTTTCTCTTTCCTAATCACACCTGTAAAAACTTCTCAAAATTTTCACACTTTTGGGTAACGAGAAAACTCCACCGCCACTATTTGAGAATCCATGTTGGGTAAACTCCACCTTATAACTCTAACCAATAAAGGACCGCAAGGAGGTTAGTCACTATATTTTTGCTGTCATTTGTGGTGGACCAAAAGAGATCTCAACATTTCACTTCAAATGATGGTTACACAATGGTTATTTTAATAATGAGAGGCCACAGGGAAGAGAACATTGGAATTTTGGTCGAACCAAAAATAAATAAAAACAAAAAAACAGTGAAGAGGACATCATACAAACACCCCATAAATATGAACTCAATAAAGAAAGTATTCATGAATCAACCTACATTTGCAAGCCAAATAGCAAACCATGATCACAAGGAAGAAGAGGGCACTTAATATGAACAATAACAATGTTTTAGTCAGATAATGCATCACACAGGGTTCACAGGTTGAGCCTTTTTCTTGTTCTGCTTAGTAAGTGGAACTTGGATAAACCCGAATTTCTTCCTTTGAGTTATGAATTGCTTTCGCAGGCTGCCATCTTTGGTAGAATTCGTGGGGTTCAATATGATCCCGCTCTGTTCCCGAAGCATTTGGCTAAACGACACGTGCTTTCTCTCCGTGTGGCTCTCGACGTGCTTCCCTACCACAATGTCGTCTCGCAGAATCAGCTTTCTGCTCAACACATCCCCAATCGAGATCGATGACCTGAAAACAGGAACCGGTTTGTGTTTTGCACCGTCTGTCTCGTTTCCTTGGCTTAGAGATGGGTTTGAATTCCTAAACTTGGCTAAAAGGCCATCATCTTTGTTCCTTCGAGAGCCATCTTCGTGATCCTCTAAGCACTTCTTGGTGTTTTCGTCTAGCTTTTTTCGGGTTGTAATAACTTCAGTCTTTGAGTCCACGAATTTGGTCTTGCATAAATCCTCGACCTGTTGGGCTTTTTGAGTAAGGGCGTAGTATTCCTCGTATGGAAGCGTTATCCCATCTGTAGTAGGCTTAGCGGGGGAGACCTCGGGAGAGGTTTTGGCATTCAGTAAAGCCTTCCTTTCGGCGAAAGCAATGGCTTCCACAGCTTTGGCTGCTTCCTCCATCTTCTTGGCTGCAGTTAACCTCATTTCAGCCATCTTGATACTCGCCTTGGTTCGTTCGATCTCCGACATTGCCTTCATAACCTCGTACCTAGACGCCTCTGCCATTTTCTTGAACTGCTCAGACTCGAAGTGCAACTCATCAGAGACATCAATGCTTTTCTCGAGGCTCGGGTTTGCCCTCGAACCATCATTGCCCCCCTCGAGGCATCTCCTCTCGTCCTTCACTCTCTTATTGAGAGACTCGACAGAGGATCGAATGACAGCAAGGTCTATGGTCATCTTGTTGAGGTCGAGTTTCGCTTGGTTCAACTCCATGAGAACGTAGCCCGGGGACTGAACTCGACAAACGCTCAACCCATCTGTGGATTTCGAGTTGGGGCATTTGCATTCTGAGCTGAAACCGGGACTCGACATAAACGCAGACACTTCTTCCATCAAATTTACTTTCAATCCTTCCACAAATCTCTTCGCCGCCTCCACTTCCTTCAACACATTCAGCGCTTCCCGCTCCTTCACAATCAAATCCCTCTCGAATTTCACCGCTTGCTCCTCCATTTTGCTTAGGTCTAAGGCCTCGGGATCGTGCTGCTAAACAAGTAAACAACACAACTCTTGTAAATTCAATGTCACTTTAGAACGACACACGTTATAACACACATTTAGCTTCATAACAGCAACTACACTAACACACATTGTTTTTGGTATGTTTTTGTGTTTCATAACATCAATTATGTGAATACAAAACACTCTGGTACTTTAATGTTCAAGAAACACAAACATATGTAACAAAAGCATAAACACAAGAAACTTGCATAATCATAGCCTGAACTCTGAAGGTACTCAATTTCAAGCCTTTTGCTTAGTGCAATTCACATACCAATATACCATCTCTTCTAGTTTAAGAATAGAAACCCAAAAAACAAAAAGGAAAAAGTGTCAAATAGGTAGAACTCCCTATCATTTTTGTGCAATTGGATCATTGATCTTAAAAAATATGTAACTGAACCATCAAACACACAAAATATATGCAATAGTGACATTTTTATGATTTCTTCTAATGCAATTTGAGTTTAAAACATTTCAATCTTTCATCTCAATTAGTATGACGCGAAAAGAGCAAATGCCAATTTTAGTCCCACGAGTTAGCAAAATGACAAATTTGGTCCATATGTTTAATTTCTACCAATTTGCATCCACAATTATTGTTTTAGTGCCAAAATTCATCACGTATCACTCCCTTCATTTAAGACATGTCGAAATATAAAATTATTAATGATATTTTCCTCTTTTCAAATTAAGATTCTAATTTTAGCATGAATAAAGTTGGCCTATTTCACACTTTTTTCAAAAAAAAAAAAAAAAAAAGATGGGCAGTGTAGAGTACTAACACAGGGCGGAGGAAGGCGGAGCAGGTGGTGGGGAATCCAGGGTCCTCTCCCGCCAAACCGGTCCACCGCCTCCTTAACGGACTCGAAAGGCGGCGAGGTATCGATCTCCGCCCTTGGGTTGATGATCTTCTTGGTCTCTGCCGCCGGCGCCGGCGCCGGCGCTGCACACTCTTCTTTTTGGGCCATAATTTCACAGCTCTGATCTTCTCCTGCTTCCCCAAGAACAAAAACCGATTCTTTTAACTAAAATTTGAGTGAATTTTCTGGATTTTCTTTCAGTAATATGCGTGTGAGTGTGGACTCATACTTCCACTCTAGCTACTGGGCACTTGGAGAAGCTATTTAACGATACCATTTGTGGGTTAGAACATAAATTAGACAAATATAGATAGGTAGTGATGTAGAATCTATAGATATATTTGTGCATATATGATATTGCATGTCTTTATATCCGCACCTGCACCTCATGATTTCTCACAACCAATAACCTTTAAAACTCACTTTATTATATCAACTATATATCATTTTAATCTCTATGTATTATATATCATTTTAATCTTTATGTATGGTTTTTTTTTTTTGTTTTTGTTTTTTTTTTTTTTTTTTTTTTTTTAAATGATAGCAGAAAGTAATTGCCACTATCTCTGACGGTGTACACTAGATAAACAATATTCTAGTGTAAAAGCGTGTAAGACTATATTTGGTAGAGTTTATAGTTTACTTTAAACTACAAATAAGCTATAACTTATGGTTGGTAACTAAAAATATTCTGAAATTTTATCATAATGAGCATTTCAAAATAAATTAATAGCTAGTTTTTAAACCTTTAGCTTTAAGCTAGCTTATAAGCTAGGTATGCCCAACATAACCTAAATCATATAGGAGAGTTAAACTTTATTAGGAAAGTCTGTTGCAACATGTTCGACTGAAAGGATGTTGCCAAAAATTTTATTGGCCCTATTTGGTAAATGGATGTTAGCTGATTGGGATAATTAGAGGGTATAACTAATTGATAACATTAGTTGATTGTAGAAATGTATTTGGTAAATTAGCTGTTAGCCGATAGTTGTTTGGTATAATTTCATTTCTCAAAAAGCTAGTTGAAAAAGTTGTTTGGGTAGCTTTTTGAATTTTATCATATTGAATATAAAAAAACTAATTAACCAAATACTTATATTGATATTTAAACCAAGTCAAACAACTAATATGAACAAATAAGCTAAAATTGAACCATAAACTAATTATTTTACCAAACGGAATTAATATGTTATGTTAATTAATGATTTAGGACTCCAATAAATTATCATATCAAAAAAATATAACATGAAACCGTATAATGGGACAATATATTGAATGCCATCATTTTGATATGCAATTAAATTCTCCATCGATCTTCATGAAGTGTACTCCATTGCTTAATGAGGCAATGAGAAAGGTACGTTTGCACAAATTTAGAGAAATACAAATATATTGTGAAAATCACTTTACATGTAAAAAATTCAATTATGATTCTTATCTGTTCATTTAATGTACTATCTCATTCAATTTTCTCCAAGGGGACAAGATTTCATCCTGTTTTGAGAATAAAATAATAATATTTATAAGAGAAATTGATGAATAAAAATTAGAACAGTCAAAATGAACTTAACTTGTCTAGTTTCTTTGTCTTGCTAAGGTGGGGGCAGAATGGCTGATTAGGGATTTAGAGACTTGTCAAAAAGTAACTTGCCCATCTCAATCCGAGAATATTAATAATATTATTAAAAATAATTGTTTTAACTTTGAATTTTAGCATTTAGAGTTTAAAAATTTGTAATAATTGCATTTTAGATTGTCTAAACTTATTATTGGCTTTACAACTTTGCATTAATGTTTGTTTAAATTATTTAGACTATTTTACAGCTCACTTATTAGTTTTTTGAATTAACTTTTAACTTTTTAACTTTTTTTTTTTTTCAAAATTTGGTTGGCCTTGGTAGGTTGGACGTGAACTAGCATTTTCTAGGCTCGATCCACTTTGCACTGCCAAACCGCTTTGACATTTCTAAGTAAAATCTAAAGCAACTCATAATACTTGTGATGAATAGGTTGAGTGATTTCCCTGTTATTCGATCCTTTGCGCAACATCCCTAGACGGATTGCATCAATTTATCTTATACTAAAATTTTTGAAAAATTATTTCCCTCCAAAATTTGTGAATAAAATGATCTAATTAATTAAATACAACTAACTAAACATAATTAGCTACCATCATTGACTCTTTTGACATGGGTAAAGTCTCATATAAATCATTATATATATATATATATATATATATATATATATATATATATATATATATGCTGAAATTTCTCATTACTTATACAAGTTTGGAGTGATTGAGTTGTGTGATGGTGATGATGTTGGATAGGTAAAAATGGGGACCATAAAATTGTCTTCACCTCCATTAATGTTCAATGAAAATTGTAAATTTCTTTATTTAACCAATCATCTTTACTAAACATGTTTGTATCTTCATTTCTTGTGAGTGCAAAATGGAAAGGCATGCATGGGGAAACAAAAGTGGTAGTTAGCACATCATATTCATGGCATGGTAAATAACTAAATACATAATTTTTTCGTATCTAATAAATTTTTTGCGAATCTAATAATAATTAATTGAATGATTATTTTGTAAATAAAAGATATATCAAACCTATAATCAACAATTTTGATCTCAAGATTCTTGTTAGTCGGATAAGGATTTCATATTATAAAATATAAAAGAAATTATTTTATATCAAATTAAGTTTAACATCAGTTTACCAAGACTATATGGTTTAATGGTACCCAGGTTGGACTTCCATTGGTTCTTTGTGTTTTAGTAGGGTGAGAAAGTATATGAACAGATACTACATTGTAATAGAGTCAGTAGCATTCAATAAAATATACGAAATTTATATATATTTACTCGGATAAATGATTATTGGCCCAAAGCTTACTTGGTTAGTTAGAGATTTTATACGCAAATTATATCATGCACCGCGCATCAAAACGACGTCGTTTTGTTTACTGAAAAGAAACAGAATCTTCGCAAAAAATAACTATGTTCTTCAGTTTCATTTTGCATACACTGCAGTTTCAGTTCAACACAACTACAGTTTTATTTCGAAATAACTATAGTTTTATTCAATATTTATAGACTCAAATATGTGAAAATGTTATTTAATTTTATTTTATATACACTATAGTTTCATTAAAACACAACTACATGATCATTTCAATATAATTACAGCTTCATTTTACAATATACACTCAAATATGTGAAATGTTATTCAATTTCATTTTATATATATATTGTAGTTTCATTTCACCACAACTACAGTATCATTTTGATGTAATTGCGGTTTCATTTGACAATATAAAAACAATATGTGAGACAGTGTCGGTTTAGACACACTGTAGTGTCACTCCGTTATAACTGCAGAAATGACGCCGTTTTGACGCGCGGTGCATAATCGATTATGCACCGTGGTGCATGATATAACAACTGGATTTTATATGCCACAACCAAGCCTGATATAGACCTATATCAAGTTTGGACCGAAAACATAATTCAACTAGTTTGATCAATTCATAGAATACTTAATAGTTATACTTCAGTCTAAACAACAAGGTGCATGTATGGTTCTTACTAGGGTCCGCACATGTATAGGGTTGATCATGTTGTGGGTAATAGTGTAAGAGCATCCCCAATAAGTGATTTTTCATGATTTTTACAGACCTAAAAAATTGAAGACAGTTCAACAATTGGGGGCAAATTATGCTGTGCAACCGTGTGTACCATGCATGGTACACACGGAATTGGATCCATAATTTTTATACTATAGATCCATAATTTCTATACTATAGATTCATAATTTCTATACTATAGATTCATAATTTCTATACTATAAATTCATAATTTTTGAACTCTATATTCACAATTACAAAACTCTATGTTCATAATTTTCAATGTTCATATTTCCAATTGTTGAACTCTGTATTCACAAATCACTGAACTATATGTTCATAATTTGATAACTATACACTTTAAAAATTATGAATCTATAGTATAGAAATTATGAATCTATAGTATAACAATTATGAATCTATAGTATAGAAATTATGAATCTACAGTTTAGAAATTATGAATTTACAATATAGAAATTATGAATTTATAGTATAGAAATTATGGATTTATAGTACAGAAATTATGGATCTATAGTATAGAAATCAAGGATCCAATTCCGTGTACATCTTGCATGGTGCACACGGTTGCACAGCATAACGCTCCACAATTGGGGGAGAGTTTTTTTTTTTTTTTTTTTTTTTTTTTTTTTTTTTAATTGCAATGCCTTAATTTTTTGTGGGGTCCATTTACAATGAAAAAACAACCCAGACAGTACGTCTAGCGCACTGTCACGCCCAGGCATGGCGCGTTAAGCATCGTTTTTTATTTTTATTTTTATTTGTTGTCAGGAAATGTTTTTTTTCCTTTTCTTTTCTTTTTATCCTCCCTCTCTCTATCTCTCTCTTTCTCTCTCATCTACCTTTTCTCTCCTATATGACTATGACAAAAATCTACTCAAAACTTCACTAATGAGGTTGCTCTAAAAATACTTATCCACGAAGCCTTCGATCAAGCACACATGCACCCTATAGGACTGCAACTCAACTAGTTTAGTTAACACATTTACTTTTGGCCCGTTTAGTTTGTGGAAAAGAAATGACAAGGAATTGAATTTAAATTTCATAAAAAAAAAAAATTACTTGGAATACTGATTTCATTGTTTGGTTGGTGAAAAATGAGTTATTGAAATAATTAGTATACGACTCAAATGCACCTATATAAATAAGATATGTGAAGGTAATACAAGAATTCATGTTGTAACTTTTCTCCCAAAAGATTTTGAAAATAAAACACCAAAAGAAAGCAAATAATTTATTTTCGTTAAATTTAAGAAATTCATTTTTCTTTAGAATTCTCCAAATTTTCTTTTTCAAATTAAAAATAAAAAATAAAAAATATATATTTTATGTCATTATAAAGAAAAGTTGACATCCCCAATAGGTCATGCTATAACCATTTCCAAGACATTCGACATTCTAGCATTAAATTTCCTACTCCCTTGTAATAGTAAATAAACCATCATGCATAATAAGAAGTTAGAGTCCTTTCTACTTCTTTTTCCAACCGAGCATTGTTCTTGGTTCATATTAATTACAACCACCACTATCTAAAGTCATGATAACCATTTAAATCTCATTTTTTTTAATACAATAAAATTCATACAAGAACCATTTCAATTATATATATATGTGTGTTGAGAAATTCTAGTGTGGGGTGCGGTGAGAGAAGCACTCTAACGTTTGTTGCTCTATTATAAAG